GGACGAAAATCCTGTAATGCGTTTGTATTACACCAATCGATCGGTACTGTTCTTCATGTGTGCCGGCAATGAGCTCTTCTATTCCGCTCTGTATTTCCTTCACTTCACTAGTGGACCATTGAGTAAGTATATCCGTTTAAGATACCTGTTCCCCCCACCCATACCCTAATAATTGGATGTCTCTATTAAATGGTACGGTAATTGTCTTTTTGTTTGTTTGTTTGTTTGTGAACAACAGTTCCCTATCTGAACATTTCGATTGTACCGCTACTGGTCTGGGTGTCGGCACCGATAGCATTGATCAAAACAGGTATCAGTCTATTGCATGGTGTTATGGCTGCCATGAATTTGGCAAATCTTGATCTTATTGAACGCCAAGAACAAGGAATCAGTCCGAAGAAGGATAACTAATATATACAAACAAACATAAAAAAAATCTAATCATATATTTATATATAAACTGACGGATAAGTCACTTAAAAATTATTATATAAAACTCTATTGTCTTTCAATTTTGATTATTATTTATTTTTTTATTAATTTAAATTTTATACATTTGTGTTATACCTGGTAATTGTGTGCCAATACTTATCTATGTTTTTATTATGTGTTAATATTGTGTATATATATGTTAATTGTTGTCAATCATAATAATACTAATACAGTACTTATAGATATTACTGTAGATTGAGATTAAATTTTTTAAAAATAAATTAGTATAAAGTAGTCCTCTATTGATATATTATTATTATCCTATATTTTAACATTATCTATATGTATAATAATTGCATTTAAAATTGATCTAGTCTAAATATATATATTAATATTTAGTTATGTTAATTACCGGTAATTAATAATTAAAAATAAAATACTAATATATAATTTAAGTTATTTATTATATATTAATCACTTATTTGGACCAAAAAAATAATTAATTAAATAATAATAATTGTCACACACTTTGATTTACATTATTAAATTAAATTTTATTTATTTATATTAAAAAAAAAACAAACAAACAAAATGAAACAATTGTTTTTTTTGGTAATATTATTATTTAGGTAGTATTACACTGGCTAATTGTTATTTTAAATTATTTATTTATTTAAAAAAATTATTTAATTATATATTTATACGAGGTCATGTATCAAAAAACAAGTGGTAAGCTATTATAGAGAGGTATTACAAATACATTATTAAATATCAATATAATTAATTAATAAAAAAATTGTTATTATTTTACATTAACAGTAAAACATTTTGTTATTATTGTTTAGTTATCTCAAAATGGTATAAACTAGTTAATAATAATTAATAATAATAATAATAGCAATTTTAATATTACATAATAACAGTGGTTAAAGCAGTTAATAATAATAATAATAATAAAGTATATCAATCAATATATATAATCAATAATAATAGTAATAATAAAAAATAAATTAAAAACAGTTTTTAATTTAATTACATAATAATTAATAATAATATATAACATAATTTCTAATAAGGAATGATTGCAAACAACATCATTGAATGACTAGAAGTACTGTATTTTGTTTTTTATATTAATTGCAACAAAAAAATTATTGCATAGAAATGGGAGCAAAATATTAACTTATAATCAGATTTTTTTCCGTTTTGTTTTTTTTTGTGTCTAATTATCAATAAAATCAACAAAAATAACTGGAAATACTCCGCGACGGTTCGGTTCCGATTCGATCATACCTTCCATCCAGTCGTCGTCGTCGGTAATGTCGTTGACGACGACAATCACTTCGCCCTCTCTGAAGGCCAGCTCATCCTCTCGTTCGGCGTCGCAATCGTAGAGAGCTATACAACGTCTATGTCTAAGACCATCGGTTTTCTTGTTAATTGAAAATAAAAATTATAAGATAATTGTCTCATCATTTTGGATAAATACCTTTCGCGGTGGAGGAACGGGAACTGATGAATGATGAGCGGCACCACCGCCGCCACCAAAAGTGTTGACACCGCCACCGCATTCATCGGATGAAATCGATGGCAAACTTTCTATAGACTGTCCATTAGTTATCCTATTGTTATGACTAATGTCTTGTCGGTTGTGTAACGGATGAGCTTTAGATTTATTATTATTATTCATATAATTATTATTATTATTATTGTTATGAGCATTGGATGATGAATATAGTTGATGATGATGTGTACCACCAGTCGGAGGAGTGCCGATTGATTTGTTATCGGAAACAAATACCGAAACCGATTGAGGAGTGGTTTTGATATTAGCAATAGTCTGTCCTCCGCCGCCACCGCCACCTCCATCACCACCAATACTATTGTTATGATTGTTGGATATATCTATAGAATAGTTACGCCAATGATTTTGTTGTTGTTGTTGTTGTTGATCGACTGGCGGTACTACTATCGGCTTGAATGTTGTGGTCATCATCGAATCGGACGAGTGTCGGCTATGAGTTTTGCCGAAACTACTACTACTATTGTTGGGTGTTTGGTGTAGTGGTTTACCACCGCTAGCTTTGTTGTCGCTAGCGGTTCCAGTGCTAATAGTGCTGTCTCTGACCGGAGGAACTGGTGGTGGTATACGTTTTTTAAGGCTATTCCTGAACTGAGCCGACAATTTTGAGAACGATGTCTGCTTAGTGGTGGTCGTTGTCGTCGACGACGACGACGGTTTGAAACTGTCGCTTGATTTACTCGACGGCGATTCGCTGCCGACAACGCTTGACGGCCGCGACGACGATCGCCGATCGATGATTGGCACCGGATGTGAGTAATTCATTGTATGCTTTTTATAATTAAAAAATAAATAATAATAAATATCAATATATCAAACAATTTATATATTTAATATAGTTATCAAACAAACAAATAAAATAAAATAAAATTATTTGTCTATTTAATTATTGCACTAAAAAAATATATTAGTTATGCAATTATCAGTTGCTATGTATAGGTGTTTAACATTTAAAAAATATGTAAACTATTTAATGTTGTCATCAAAACAACAAAAATTGTTATCTAATTGTTAATCTCCTTGAATTGAATGATTACATAATCAAATGGTTAGTCATATAATAGTTATAATAATAATATCAACAAAATTTTTTTTTAATGTCTTACTCTATCATCGGTTAGATCTTCATCGCTGAAATCAGTTGACGGATCTTCAAAATGATTGAAACTCATATCCAGACAAACATTTTCAAACAAACTTTTCTTATTCATGGAAGCGCTTTCTAACTGTTAATAACAAACAAACAAACAAAAATAATTATTAATAATTAGATTTAATTATAATAATAATAATACCAATTCAATGAGTAGATGATTGTGACTATCTTTGGCCAAATCTAATGGTGTCTTATTTTGATTGTTTCTAACATTTAACTGAGCATTTGATCGGAGCAATAGTTTCATTGCTTCGCTATTATGATATAAAACACAATAGTGTAGACCAGTATTGCCATCGATGTCCACACGATTCAGATTAACACTGTTTTGTATAATAAAATCTAATACATTCAACGATGATATACTACTATTACCACTACTGTCTTCGTGTTGATGAGCAATCAGATAGTGAATACCGGTTTCACCGGCGGTGTTGTTGGCACTGTTGGGCAAAACGCTGGTCAGATCGCAGCCTTCGGCAAACACTTGCAACAGTTGATGCAAATTACGTGATACAACTGCACCCTCGAGTTCGGTTCGCAGTTCCGATTCGTCTCTACACGATTTGATTATATACTTTCGGTGAATATATTTGTTTCGTATGAACTCATTTCGTTTATCCATTGAACTCGTGGTAGTCGGCTTTGTGGACACATCGAGCAGGGCTTCCATAGTGTCGTTAAAATTTGAGTTACTCATTACACGGGCCAACAATAGTTGAGATGTACCGATATTGTCCAATGTTAGCGATTGGATACGTGATACGTGGACACCCATATCGCGATGAATACCCGAACATTCAATACACTATCACAACAACAACAAAAAAAACAAATAGGATAATACCCGGTAATTATTTTTAACCAATTTTTAATAGCTTACCGTAAGCACACCGAAATTGGTGGACAACCAGGTCGGGTCTTTAGTCGAACTACAATCAACGCACCGGTCATTGCCCGGCAGTCGTTGAACTTCTGCAATGATTGTCTGTTGTAGTTCCCGTAGACTTTGATGATTTCGATAGTATTGACAATTACTTTGATCTCCTCCTCCGCCTCCGCCTATTGTCGAACCACTATTTGGTCCTAAACTTTGATTATTATTATCAAATTCACGTTTAAGCGCACCTTCTTTACTGTTAACCAGTACTGAAACCCAGGCCTCGTGTTCCGATTCATCCTCTGTCTGGAAATGATAGGTCCTATTATAGGATATCAAATCAAACGATTTGCGATCGTCCGGAACCGCTTTAATCTGAACAGTCAATAGATTCAATTTTGTCGGTACTTTTGATTCGTCCGAATGAAACACTTTCAGATAACCGTCGCTGACCTCACACTTTCGTTTTTGCCAAACTTTGACACGCATTTTACCTTCAGATTTCTTCAGCAAATAACCCGATTTCTGGTCACCAAATGTTTTGTTTCCTTGCATCTGATGTAGACTATAACCAGTTAAATTGGAAGCGTCTTTGGAAGCGCCAGCGCCGGCCGACGAAGACATGCTATTATTTGCAGCAAAATTGACGCCATCTTTGGTATGTCCGCCGCCGCCGCCGCCGCCACCACCACCACTAATGTCGGCAATATTTACCGAATTACGGATAACTGTACGCAATTCGTGCAAACTTTTACGTTCTTCGTCACGTTTTACCCGAATTTTCTGCAATTTACCCGACAGTTCGCCGACATAACCGCTAAAATGTTCGATAGTTTTCAGGGCATCCCTGAAATAGTTGGTCTGTGTATTGTAGTATTCGACCAGATGTTCGAGCAGTTCTACACCAATCTTGGACTTGATTTCATTGTTTTTGATCAAATAGTCGCACATTTGTAGCTGAAATACTTTACGCTCTCTGTCCATTTCGTCGGCCACTTCGGCACCAGTGATCTCTGTACGGATCAGTCCCGCCTCCTTAGCCTGGGCTCGCTTTTCCTTTTCAATCTTCGTAATCTTTGTTTCGTACTCTTTCCACGCCTTATCAAACGGTTTTTTCATATCTCCTTTGACACCCTTGAGGTCGCCCTTCAAGACACTCTCCAACGGAAACATTACTATATTATGAAGACTTTGCATCTGATGAATAGATAGTGTATATTAAAAAAAAGATTTATTTATTTATTTTTAGATCCGAATCGACAAACACTAAAAAACCTTTGTCTTCATCAGCGACGACAACTCTTTGGTAACAATGGAAAACTTGATGAAAGCGGCGCCGATATCCGGCTCCTGGTCTTTGGTCATGGCGTTGGCGCCCAATCTTTCCAACGATTTCGATAAATAGATCTCATTTTCGATGTGCGCTATCAATCAGATCAAGAGAGATGATATTACAATCATTATAATCACAACAATCAATCAATAGGTTATATATATAACTAACAATTGGCTCCGTTATAGATGGCTTTCAATGCCTTTTTCATTTTGGTCAGACCATCCCGATCGAGATCCAGACTTTCCTCCAGTGTGGCCACTGTTTGCCTACACTGCGACATACGTGAGACAAACGATGAAGTTGTCGGTGAATTGATATCTTCGCGAGTTTCGGCAACAAAGTCGCCGACACTCATGAGGGCGGCCGGCATTGTTGTCGACGGTGTCGGACACACACACACACACACTCACTGACACAACTGGCCGGTAGTGATAGTGTCGGCGGCGGCGGCGGCGGTACTGATATCACACACACTAAAAGTTTTATATATATGACCAAACAATACGACGGCAATCTCGCGGATCGGGTCAACAGTGGCGCCAATGGATCAGTCAGTCAGTCAGTCATTTAGTATAGTCGACCAATCAATCGGATCCCGATCTGAGATGAGATAATATATTGTCTAATCAAACACAATGTCAACAACAATAATATGAAGACAACGCCTCCTTTCTTCTTCTTCTTCTGTCATGTGTTTTCTGACATAACATTCAACTGTAATGACAAACAAACCATTGATTTAATTATTATTATTATTATTATTATTATTATTCAATGGGTTCTCAATTATAATATGATATGATATTAATATACTATATATCCTATGATTATATAATATAATATAATAACAAATAATTTACATTTATATATATTAAGGAAATTAGTTATCATTTACTAGTAATATATAGTTATTATTATTATTTAGTTTTTATTTATATTTTTGTTGAAAATATTTTTAATGTTTTTTTTTAGTATATTTAATAATATAATCACTCAATACATGTATAAGTAAACTATACTTTATATATATTAATATATATATGCAATGAGTTTATATTGTATATAATATATTGTAATAATACTGTAATTATTGTAATACAGTACTGTATTAATGCATTGAAATAAATATACTGTATATATGTATTCAATGGAAATATATATATATGTTTTAGATTACACACTGTGTGTGTACAGTAATTTACTATACATTTACAATCATACTATGTAGTTGATAGTCAAACAAACAAAGCTATGGTTAGTACGTCACACACATACATACATACACACACATACATACACACACATACACACACATACATACACAAACATACATACATACACACACATACATACACACACATACACACACACACATACATACACAAACATACATACATACACACACATACATACACACACATACATACACAAACATACATACATACACACACATACATACATACACATACACATACACATACACATACACATACACATACACATACACATACACATACACATACACATACACATACATACACACACACACACACACACACACACACACACACATACATACATACATACACTTTACAAACAAAGTTATTATGTATTAATGAAACTTATGATTGGGTTATTGTTTGTAATAAATTTGTTGATTATATTATTAATTAATTAATAAATAATATGTTAAATGTTTACATTATTTTTTAAGTATTAATAAAAAATAATACAGTATTACATATAAAAATAGAAATTTCTAAAAAAAATATATACATGTACATTTGCAGTCTAATACAGTAGATATTAGTTGTATATTACAAAAATAATAAATAATACCATAATTTATACACGGGGTAACTTTTCTAATTATTATTATTTATCTTATATGTAATTAAGCATGCTAATTTAATATCAATGTTTCCCCGGGGAATTTATTTCTCTTTGGGGGGGGAACTTAAATTGTTTTTTTTAATTTTAATTTATAATTTGTTTATTAATAATATAAATTATTAATAAGTTATTATTATTTTTTTGTTCAATTGATTATTTATCATTGATTTGACATTTAGTTAATTATTTTTTTTTTAATAAAAAAATAACTAAATATTATTAAAAATAATTTTTCTTAAATAATTTAATATAAATTTTAGAAAAAACAACTATAATGTACTTTAACTTTTGTAAGAAAAATAAAAAATAATAATTTTTTGATCTAATAAGTTTAAAAAGTTTATTTTGTTTTTTATTTTACAATAAAACATTATTTTACAACAATTTTTTTATATATAAAAAAAAGTTTACTTGATAAAATTATATATATATAGTTTATAAAAAAATACCTATACAAATATCATTTAAATATATATATAGGCACATCATAGGCTTAATAATACAGTAGTAATTAATTATTCAATTATTTAACAATTATATATATAATATATATATATATATTATTTAAAAAAATAATGATTATAATCCATTAATTTCGTTTTTTTATACTTAAAAAAAAGTTTCGTTATTATAAATTAATAATAATTGTTATTATAAATTAATTAGTGATTAAGTAGTATATATATAATGTATTTGTATGAAAACAAATGGTATGATTTTTGTTGATTTGTTTTGTATTAAAAATGATAGTCATATATATATATAAATTAATTCATATGTAATATACTGTACATAATTTGTATTACATATACAATACCGTAATACAATCAAAAAAAAAATCAATGAATTTCCAACTAAATTGAAAAATTGATTGTCTTTTTTTAAATAATTAAAAAAATGAATTTAAATACAAATGTCTTAATGATTGAACAAACAAACAGTAAAATTTGACTTCAATTATATGATACATAATATATATATATATATGAAAGACTAGAAAACCAAGTGATTGATTGATTGGGAAGATGTCTGTCTGGTCTCTTCCAGTTAGACATCTGTCACAACACTTAGCATATCATTTGCCGAATACGAAGACCTAATTGTTGGACAATTGTCGGTCCATTTGTGTCGACGACCACCACTTGTTGCGATGATTGTTGTTGTGTTGAGCGATGATGGCGGCGGATCTGTCCGTAGTTTAGCTTTACGTTTGGCACTAATTTGATCCATACTTAAGCCTTTGTGTAGAAGAGCTGTTGTGGCGGCGGCGGCGGCTTTTGTTGGACATCTGTAGCTCGTATTGAACGCGTGTAACGGCGATAGCGAACCGACAGCAACAGCGGCGGTGGCTCTCATGTCGAACTTATAGTCATCGGTAACCATCGTCGTCGCTGTTGTTGTCTCATCGATGGCCTCCTGGCTCTGGTGTTGTCGGGCACTATCACCGGTTCCGCTATCTTTGGCACTCGAATCGCTGTTCAACGATGTTGTCTCATCTTCGTCTTCAGTAGTAGTAGTAGTAGTAGTAATCTGAAGAAACACATTGCTTGTCATCAGTTCTTTGTTACGATGTTTAGCCGATAATCGACGAATAGTATCGTTAGCGTCGTCATCATCAACAGCTTCATCGTCGTCATCGCTGCTGCAGTTGGTATCCAAGTATTGTCTATTATTATGTCGTTTTCGGGTCCGGTATATGATTATCACCCAAATCAATGATGTCATTGCAATACACGTAAACACAGCAATCACTATAATACCGATCAGTCGGCTATTTTCGATGATAAACGTATTCAATGTGAACGTATCGTCCATTTTGCCGCCAATATTATCGTTGGCGGCAACGTTGGCCAAACCGCCGGGAATAATATCCAAAAATATTGTCTCTTTAGTTGATCCTAAAATATTGCTCATTTCACACGAATACTCGCCTTCGTCCGACTCTTGGGTCTTAACAATAATCAACAGTTGATTGTCGGCCGTAAAAAAATGTCGTTCAGTGGCAATGATAGCACCGCCGTCTTTAGTCCACTGAAGCACGGGTTTCGGCGAACCCGAAGCCATACATTCGATGACAGCTGTTTCGCCGATGATGGCCTCTTTGTCGGTCATTGGACGAACAAATGTGGGCATTTCGAGTACGTTCAAGTAGGCGCTGGCCGTATGAGAACCGGCATCATTGGTTGCCGTACACGTATAGAGACCCATATCCTGGACTTTGACTTCGACTATGAAGAATACATCGTCGGCTGGCATAACATGCATACGGCGTTCCATAGCAGCGGGAAAATTATCGCCGCCGTCCTTTTGCCACGATATTTCCGGCATCGGTTGGCCACGGGCGGCACACTCAAGCCGAGCCGTATTGCCCACTTTGACCGTAACGTTGTTCGGTGTTTTCGTAAACGTTGGCCAGACATGAACATTGATACGAATTTTGTGCGTATAAACAGTACCGAAATTATTCGATGCTATACACTGGTAGCGGCCTTCGTCCTGGTCTTCGATGTCGGTCAGCAACAAATTACCGGTATATTCGGTAATATTACCGCTACTGCCGGCGCCGCCGTCACGTTGTTTGGCAAATGTCTGGAGAAACACATTGTTGTTGATGTTGTTGTTGTTGCTATCCATCGATGTATTTAATATTTGATTGTCTTTACGCCACTGAAACTCTATGGGTTGCGGACTACTCGAAGCCGCCCGACAGGTCAGTGTCATATTATCGCCTTTCAGTGCTTTCAATGGTTTATCGCCCATATGTTTGAAATCGTCGATCAGATAGGGTTTCAGATAGTCTTGACATATAAACTCATCGGAATTGGCATCGATTAGCGATTGATTAATGAGACGTTCGGGATGTTTACATTTGGCTTCCGTAGCGGTCATCCGGTGTTGTTTGGCTATCTGACTGTTTGCTAACCAAATTGGCAGCCATTTTAGTGTACAATCGCATACCAGATCCGTAGTGTTCAGACGCATTTCCTGCAGATTCTGGAACCATTGAAACGACTGGTCTTGAATCGATGCAATCGGATTGTGACTGAGATCCACGATTTCCAGATTAGTTAGTCCCGAAAACGTCCGTTTGGTAATTGATTTAATGAAATTAAAAGCCAGTCCAAGATTTCGTAGTTTTTCCAAACCAATGAACGAACCGCTCGAGTCTTCGATGGTCCACGAAATCTGATTGTGATTCAGACCGAGTGTTTCCAGGGCTGACAGCGACCGAAAAGCCGAATCATCGATAAATGATATACTATTGTAGTTGAGTGTCAGATACTGTAGCGAATGTAGTCGACTAAACATTTCTTTGGCTATCGAATGGATCCGATTGTATGATAAATCTAATTCCATTAGTTTATTGGAAAATTCCCAGCCATCGCCATCGATGTCTTCGATTTCGTTATTATTGAGAAACAATTGTTTCAGCGATGACAGTCCATAGAGCCATCCTTTTCGTATGGATGTCAGATTGTTGTGATCCAAATAAAGATATTGAATCTTATTCAGACCCCAAAAGGTACCGTCAAACAGATGTGTCAGCTGATTCTTCCGGAGTCGCAGTGTTTCCAATGAGTCTAAACCGTGAAACACTAGACCCTCGAGCGATTGCAACCGATTGCGGCTCAGGTCAAGCTCTTTGAGTGCTGTCAGCCGACGAAACAGTTCTTTTGGTAGCGACGATAGCTTGTTCTTCGATAGTTTCAGTACTTCCAGATGAATTAGATGGTCGAACGAGAACTTTTCGATACTAGTTAAGCGATTGTTGTTGAAGTTGACGGAAGTTAACCGATGCGAACGATTGCTGAAAAATTCATTGGGTATTGTTGTCAACAGATTGTGACTCAAATCAATGGTTTCGAGACTCGGATATAAGTCTACCGATGAGTTGGCCAACGTATCGATACTGTTGTGATGGATAACCAATTGTTTGAGTTGATACAAGCCGTTCAATTGGGGAAACTTTTGAAACAAATTGTTATTAAGTTTGAGGTCAAGTATAGCTGTCTGCAAGTCGCTGGCATCGACTTCATTGGCGGCGGCAGCAGTGGTTCCGCCGTTGATAAACAAATTTGTGTCCAACTGTTTCAGTTGAGTATGGCTTAGATCCAATCGAAACAGATGTCGAAGTCCACCGAATGCCCTGTTGTCGACCGTATTCAGGGGATTGTACGACAGTTCCAGTAGTTCACACCATTTGGGTATCGGTTGGGGAACCGATGACAGTCGTCGTTTGGAACAGTCGACCAGTGCTCCCAAACACGAACACTGTTTGGGACAGACATCCGGATCAGTATTGGTCAACAACAACAACACCGCTGGACGACAACCGATTGTCAATATGGTTAACACCAGTATCACCAGTAGCTGCTGCTGATGTCTAATCATATCTTCTTTTATTTTAAACACTAGACGCGTGACAATTATCTCTGACTCTGATCACCAAATAATACCATAACTTGTTTGTTGTCTTTGATGATAATAACCACAACTATCGCCAACACATCTCAAGTCTTAAGACATTGTTGTTGTTGTTGTTGATGTAGTTGTAGTCACTTATAATGGTATCAAACATATCACGTCGTTGTCGTCGTCGTTGTCTTCATTATCTTCTTCTTCTTCGATGTCTTTTTTAAACTACCATTTAATTTGTGTCTTAGTGTCTGTCTTTAGCAGTGTTTTTGATAACCTAATGGTTTAGACCAACAAACAAAAAATGAGACAAAAATTATTGTCACAAAAGTAATGGCAAATCCATTCATACATTCAATACATTCATCGACTATTGAATTCATTCAATACATTCACATATATATTATCCCATATTATAGATGCCATTCAATACACACACACACACACAGTGTTAAAGGGGGGAAAAAACTTATGTGTTATGTTCCTCAACAAAAAAAAACATTGATTAATACATGGTTAATGTTGTTTAAGGGGCTCTTATTATAGGGAACTGTACTTTAACTGTATGGAGGAGTATGTATGCCCCCCCCCTGTAATATGTATAAACTAATTTTTCACATATCAATGTTTACATAAGCCTTTTTGAATGCCTGTACAGTCAGTATACAGTATAAGCCATAGGCTCTCTCTCTCTTTTCTCTCTCTCTCTCTCTCTCTCTCTCTCTCTCTCTCTCTCTTATCAATGCATTTTGTGTGTGTGTGTGTGTGAACACCAGTGCGACAAAGTTATAGTGTGGGCCCATAAAGTCAATGGGGGAGCTCTACAGTATACAATGTATGGGCCAATCGCATGCAATCTATGCATGGGTTGTTACCCCCCATCCCATATGTTTAGCAGGCATTGAATGGTGGGATAGGGTGTGTATGAGTGGGGGGGGGGGGAACAGGCAGTCAGGTTAGGCCAGTGGACATATATTCTGGATATTAACCATCATTTTTACTTATATTTGGGATTGACTTATGGGATTGACCTTCAGCACCGATAGTTTTTCACACACACACACACACACACACACACACACACACACACACACACACACACACACACACACACACACACACACACACACACACACATGTATGGTGTTTCCCACTAACTATACATACTGTACGGTATATATATTGGCATTTTTGGTATGATGGTGGTGGTGGGGATCAGTTAGCTAGGGTTAGGTGACAGTTGCTGAATAATGGGGGTGGTAGATTGAGGTGGGGGTGACACTAGCTTTACACACACACACACCTTTGTTAACGTGTTTGTATACCTGTAGTAGTTATTAGTAGTATTTATTACAACTAATAAGTTTTTTTTTCAATAACAAAAAAAATAATAAAAAAATTAAATTTATATTTATAACTAATAATAATAATTAAAAATAATAATTAAATATAACAATACATACCTGTATTTATTTATTTTATTTTTTTAAATAATAATAATAATCTTATTATTATATAATATTTGTTTTAGATATTTTATTATCACTATAACGATAATTGTCCCAGTCAAATTATTGGTTAACTAATAATAAAAAATAATTTTAAAAAATTAAATTTATATTTATAACTAATAATAACTAATAATTAAATACATACCTGTATTTATTTGTTTTATTTTTTTTAAATAATAATAATAATCTTATTATTATATAATATTTGTTTTATATATTTTTTATTATCACAAACGATACGATAATTGTCAGTCAAATTATTTGTTAACTGATATTATTATTTAAAAAAAAGTATTAATGTATTAATACTGAATATATCAAATGTTGGGAAAACTTTTTTTCCCCCTTATATTATCATAAACTTAATACTAATTATTATATTATATTATACATCTACTGTTGTTAACTATTATCAAGTTATAGGCATAAACTTTATATTTATATAAATATATTATTAAATTAATTAAATAAATAAATACTAAAACCAACAAAAAAATAGTTATCAATTTTTTTTGTGCTAATAAATGCTATTTTATTGTACAGTATATGCAATATTTAGATGATTTGGTAATATATATATATATATATATATATAAACATTGGTTTAATATACAGTATTATTATCATAATATTATGATTATATCTAATAATGTTTAAATATTTATATATCATATATATATATATGTATTAAAAAAAATTCATGTTAATAAAAATATTTATCTTATAACTAATATGCATAATCATTATTAAAATAATAATAATATCTTTTAATATAGGATATATCATATCAAATATATATTGATAATATCAATTTGATATATATATATATATATATATATATATATGTGTAAACTGTATTACAGGATATATGGATATATCAGATAAATTAAGTCAACAATTTATAATTTATTTATTTTTTTTGTAAGCAAAATAATTTGTCAATGGTTTATATATTATCATAGATTATATATAATATTTAGATTTTTTTTGTGAACACCTCCTAAAAATTAAAGATACGAGTGTGGGGTATGGGTATTGTCATATCCAACATACCCGTACCCGTATGTGTGTGTGTGTGTGTGTACAGTGTATATACCCCTATGCATAGCAAATGTCATTATATTATATTATTGTGTTTGTCATCCCATATGAATCCAATTTATACCACAAAAAGTACACACAGGTGTTGACAACACACACACACACATATATATGAGAGTTAAGCCTACTTACTATCAAATAACTTGCCGGTGCAGCTGCACATACATGTACTCAACACACACATACCGCCACACACATGTGTGTATGTATAATATGTATGTAAATGTCATCCCAATAGTGTGAGAGATGCCATCGGAAATAGGGTCTTAAATACCTAAATATCTTGTGATTATAAATGTGATACAAATAGTAGTCAAAAAAAATTTTTTTTTTTTGGATACAATTTTATTTAAATACCATTATTTCTTTTCATTACCTAAATAAATAAATATATATTATATTTAAGATCTTTTTTTTTTGTATCAATTATTAGATGCAAAATAAACAACAAATAAATTTCTATAGATTTATTGATAATGTATTTTTGTCACCTGTACTGAGCTTTTAAATGCAATACATTAGTTGAGGGAAAAATACATTATATTATAAGTTTATACAGTAATGCAATCTATAATATAATGCAATATAAATACATTAAATATAAGGAAAACAATTTTTATGTGACATTTTTTTCTGGCAAATTTTCACTTAAATGCCAATCTATTTATATATATATATATATTTAGAGTAAATATATTAATACAGTATATATATATATATATAGATCTAAAAAAGTTTTATCATAAAAGTCTAATCGATTTTTATTTTTTTTAGTTATGTCATCGAAAGGTTTATTTTATATATCAAAACTAATTTATCTTCAAAAAAAATACATTACATATAATTTTTTTAATAGTTTATATTCACGATATATTTTAATTTATATAATAATATTAAAAATATAATTTATTATTATTATAATTGAATATAATTCACGAACCATTGAAAAAATAGTTGTTAATAATTAAATTTGTTATTATTATTATTTAAAATATTATAATAACTTATATATAAAGTATATGCTTATTATTTATTATATTTAAAAAAAATAAATTACTAATTATTTTCAATAGTTATAATAATAATAATAATTATGATTATATAATCCAAACAAATAGTGCATTAAATAAAATATATAATATATTTTGATAATAATTTTTTTTAAAATATGCTTTTATCCAATAGATTTCTATCGCTAATATTTTCTTCTATAAATATCTAATAAATTATTTAACTATATGATAATACAGTATATATTTTTTTATCTAATAATAATAATAATATAAATAAGTTATAATAGGGATATGAAAATTAATTTATGCGATGAAATATACATTCATACAATAATAGTATATTTAAAAATAAAAATAAAATTATTTTTTATTGCAATTATTATTATTATTGTAAATTTTGCTAATTCATTCAAATACAGTCCCAAATTTATATATCTATATATAATTGTCAACAAACAAGTTGTTATAAAAACACAAATAAAAAAAAATAATTAAAAAATAAAATTTAATAAATCATAATTCCTAGAAAATTTATTGACTAATCAACTAACTATTTAACAACAAAAATATAAAAAAATCTTAATTTATTTATTTTATTTTTGCTTTTATAATCAAACATATAATTTATTTATATATATATATATAACTTTAAATGATATATCCAATAAAATATGTGATACAAATTTTTTCTAAATAAAAAATAACTTATATGATAATAATAATAATATACAGTTAGTATTACTATCCATTGATAATAATGATCTATACATTAGTTGCTATTTAAAAATTTTGTTTATAAATTATCTAATATATCAATGTGTATATACATTATATATATATGTGTGTATGTATTTATGTGTGTGTCAATGATATTGTTGTACATGTATAGCAGGTATATAATCTTTAAAAAAATAAATAATTATATATTTATAGATCTCGACATAGATTTTAATCAAAAAAAAAATATTTATTTTTTAAAAACACTTAAAGGTTTAAACAGTACATACAGAGAGAGAGAGAGAGAAAGAGAGAGAGAGAGAAAGAGAGAGAGAGAGAGAGAGAGAGAGAGAGAGAGAGAGAGAGAGAGAGAGAGAGAGAAAAGTATAATAAATTTTTATATACATATAATTTACAGTAATATTAAGTGTAAAGATATCAATGAGTGCGTGAAAGTCATTGAAAAACTATGCAATGTTTATAATATAAACTTTTATATATATGATATATACACACATTTGATAGATACAAATATGTGTTATAGTTTTTTTTAAAAAAAAAGTTAGTTAACATTATAAGTAATAATAATAATAATTAGTTTATAGTATTACTTATTAAAACACAAAAAAAACTTGTATTAATTATTATTATTATTTTAAAAATGCAATTAAATTTTTTTTCATATTTTTTTTTTTTTTTGAATAAGGCGTCAATCATGTGATTATTTGATTATATTATATGTGATGTCAATTGAATGCTATGTTGTTTATACAGTACATACTTATAACACATACAAACACACAGTGTATATGTGTTTAGATATATACAGTATTTTAATACTCTCTCTCTCTCTCTCTCTCTCTCTCTATGATTGCAATGATTTCAGTGATTACCCATTGATTTTGTAAAATATTATTAATCATATTATTAGTTAGTAATAATATATTATAACTAAATTAATAATAATAATATTAATTTGTGGGTTATTTTGTATGTGTAGTGTTTTAAACATTAAAATTCAATTAATAGTATATTAATATTTAAACAAAAAATAATTGTTATTATAATTGTTTGATGTGTCAAATGTTTTAATAATAATAATAATAATAATAATAATAATAATAATAATAATAATAATAATAATAACAATACAGTAATAAAACTATTGTTTATTTTTTTGTTGATATGTTTTAAATGTTTTGTTTTTTGATAAACAATTTGTAAACAATTTAATTATTATTATTATTATTGTCTATAGATATCATGTATTATTTAATATAATATAATTACTATTAACTATCTATTGTTATAATAATAATAATAATTATTATTATTATTATTATTTAATATACGACTCATCGCTATTGAGTTTATTTACTATTGAATTGAAGATTATTATTATCATTGAATGATATGATGGGACCAACAATTGATGGACACAATCATCATCATCGCCGCCAACAACACCACCGAAACCATTGATAATATCATATCATATAATATATATATCCTATTAGTTAATGATTGAGACGATAATGTCTTCAGCAGCGGTCATCGATACCATTGCCGCCGTCATCAACAACAACAACAACACAACGTTTGACGCCGAAGATGGCGAAGAAGTAGTAGTAGTGGCCGTACAACAGCCGCCACCGCAGTCGACGCCAACAGATGACGATTCACAGACAACAACAACAACAACAACAGCTAGAAGACAGTCAAGCGATGACCAACAGGCGATTGTCGGCGGCGGCCAAACAAYAACATCGGAGGCCACCATCACTACTAGCATCAGCAGCAGTAGTAGTTTGACTACAGCGGCGGCCGCGTCGGCGTCGGCGGCAGTGACCGTACCGAAAGGGTCGTGGCTTTTACGGCTATTCGAGTCGAAATTGTTTGACATGTCTCTGGCAATCATGTATTTGTTTAAATCCAAAGAATTGGGTGTATTATCCTATTTGGGTAATCGTATGTTTACTTTCGGCGACCAAGAGGTTGACTTTTATTTGCCGCAACTAATCACACTGTATATACATCATCAGGAAATTGCCGAAGCCTTGCATCCGTATCTCGTAAGCCGATGCCGTAACAGTAGCCACTTCTCCCTACAGCTGGTCTGGCTGTTGAACGCCTTCTGCAACGATACAGTCTATTCGTCGGCAGCCATACCCAAGCCATCCAATTCCCGACGAAAATCGTTGGGTCTTAAACTAAGAAATCTCATTCTATCGGAAGAGTTGCGTCCAAAGAAACAGACAACACCTCAACCACCGCCACCACCACAACAACAACCAACACCTGACTGTTCCCTTCATAATAATCATCACAATAATCATAATAATAATAATACAAATGATAGCTTATCGGTGATTGCTGTAGACAATAGTCAGCCGGAGCTGTCGCCACCACCACCACTACCGACAGCGTCACCGCTGCCGCAAAAGTTGATCAACGGTTCGGATCAATCATCATCAACAACATCATCATCAGCAGCACTTCATCAAAAATTTCATCACCACCATCAGAAAACTCATCAGCGATCGTACAGTGATTTTAGTTGCTATAATCCGTCGCTATCGTTGCGCAACCAATCGCTACGGTCGCCAATGATTAGCGGCAGCGGCGGCGGCGGACATCATCATAACGGCGTCGGCGGTCGACTAAATTTAGGTGATCCGCAATCGGGTCACGCATTCGATAACGGATGCGTATGTTTTACTGCCTGTGTCAGCCTTTGCAATGAACTACTCGGCCGGGGCGAGCGTGTGGTCTGCCATTGCGGTGCTCCCCGGCTGACCGCCCAATACGAGTTTATCAAATGCTTGATCAACATTGGCCTACGTCTGCAAGCAGTTCCAGCTAAAGAAGTGAAATCTCAGCGCCTGATTGCCGAACTAATGCAACTGAATATGAATCTGCCGGCCCGTGTATGGCTGCCCATACACGATGCCAAACATATGATTGTCAGAGTACCGCCACAGGCGGCCGTATTGTTGAACTCGAAAGATAGGGCACCGTATCTGATATGTGTCGAAGTTATCGAAGTGGACGATATCAATGCTACGCCGATTCCGGTCAAACAAACTAATCTGAGTTTAAGGCAAACGAAATCCGAAGAAAATTTAGTAGAGTTTGCCCAAAATCAGAGTACCAGTAGTATAGCAGCAGTTAAGACAACAACAACAACGGTTCCGACGATAACCCGTATCGCCAGCAGTAATCATATTAGCAGTTGTTATCCGTCGGTATTGTTGGACGATAGCGATTGTTGGACACCCGAAGATGACGAAGTATCCAAACAGTATAGGCTGCGAATGAGTGGCTACGATAAGGATACGATATCGCAGTTGTCGCAGGATTCGGGTACCAGTAATGGTACCGATGGTAATAATGGTGGCCATAATCCGCCAGTGTTTGTGGCCGCCGGCGATATACGTCGACGACTGAGCGAAACCATTAACAATGCACCGAAAACTAGTTTCCAACGATGTCCGGACGATCCGTCGGCTGCCGCACTCAAAGAACCGTGGGATGAAAAAGTTAGCCGAATTCGCCAGTCGTCACCGTTCGGACATCTGTCGAATTGGCGTCTGTTGGCTGCTATTGTCAAATGCGGTGACGACTTACGACAGGAACTGATGGCCTACCAGCTGTTGGCCAGTTTGCAAAAGATATGGCAACAGGAACGGGTACCCCTTTGGTTGAAACCGTACAAAATTCTGGTTACTTCCGGCGAATCGGGACTCATCGAAGTCATACTCAATACCGTTTCATTACATCAAATTAAAAAACACTGTAAACTATCGATTCTCGACTATTTTATCAAAGAATTTGGTCCGCAAACCAGCGAACAGTTTATAACAGCCCAACAAAATTTTGTCCAATCGTGTGCCGCCTATTGTCTGGTCTCTTATCTGATCCAAGTTAAAGACAGGTAACTAATTATACTCTATATTGCAGTCAATATTGATTCAACAAAAATAATATTAAATTAATTAATTTTTTTGTTTTACAATAAGACATAACGGAAATATATTACTCGACTCTGAGGGCCATATAATTCATATTGATTTTGGTTTTATTTTATCGAATTCACCGAAAAATCTCGGATTCGAGAACTCGCCGTTCAAATTGACACAAGAATTTGTTGATGTAATTCAAATAAAAATAATAATAATTTTTAACTTTTTTTTAATAATTTATTATTAATTATTTACAGGTAATGGGAGGTCTGGGCTCCGATATGTTTGAATATTTCAAAATACTGATACTACAGGGTCTGATAGCTGCCCGAAAACATAACGAAAAAATCGTAACCATTGTCGAGATATTACAGGCAAACACACAGTTAGCCTGTTTTAGTAACGGCCCGTCAACTGTCCGATGTCTGCGCGAAAGGTTTCATATGGGCTTAACTGAAGAACAGCTACAACTGGAGGTCGACTCAATGGTCGAGTCGTCCATACATTCGTTGACTACGAAACTGTACGACGGGTTTCAGTATCTAACAAATGGCATACTTTGAACACTAATCTAATACTAAATAATAATAATTATTAGTAAAAATCATTGAAATATTTGGATTATTTAAATAAATATATATATATCCAGTAAATACTGTTAAATAAAAATTTATATTACATTATATTGTATAAACAAATTTGTAAATTAATTATTATTATTATAAACAAACAAAAAATAATTATGGATTGTTATATACATACAGATATTGATATTATTATAATAATTATTATTATTAGTAAAATTTTGACAATTTTTCTACTAATTATATTTACAATTGAATAATTAAAAAAAAAGTTATTATTTATCGAATAATAATTAAGTATATATATAACATTAAAAAATTTTCAAAAATATATTTGTTATAATTTATAACTTGTATATTAATAAATATAAGATACAATAGTATGATATAATCATATCTAAATATACTGTATATATATATATAACAAAAATATTTTTTTAATTTATAAAATATTAATAAATAAAATATAATAATTTTGACTTTTTTTAACTGAAATTATTATTAAAAATCATCGAAATATTTTGATTTTTTTTTTTAAATACAATAAAAACAGTTATAAAAAAAATTTATATTACAATATATTTTATATCGGTATATAAAACAAATTGTATATTAATTATAAATATTAAAAAAAGTTATAATTGTTTTTTATGATTAAAAAATCATTTTATTTGCATTTAAGTTATAAAATTTTTTTTTTTGTAATTAAAATACAAAAACAATTATTGTTTTCAATGAATGATTTAAAAAAAAAAAAAATAGTGAAATGAATTAATTTTTTACAATAAATTAAAAAAAAAAATCTTTTAATAACATTATTATTATTATTATCATCTCAACTGTCATATCCATCTGAGTCTTCAGATGAGACTTCCAGAGTAGTGTTTAGACTGAAAAAGTCTTGGATATCATTATGCAAATCACGTACACATAGACTAAACGATCTGATAATTAAAAAACAAAAATTTTTAGTTAATTATAAGTTTTAATGTTTTAAGTTTTTTTTAAAAAAAAAAAAAAAAAAAAGTTTGGCCGACAATTCAGGTCAACACAATTCGGGTCACACACACACACACACACACACACATACACACACACATACACACACGGGTGGGGGTGGGGGGGGGGTTAAAAACCGTACTTAAAATTTTTAATGTTTTTTTTAATGTTTGTTTGTTTGTTTGGGTTATATCTGGGGTGTGAATCGTCGGCTCTAATATATATATATATCAAATACAATGTCGTGTCAAATGCCAATCAATATACCTGATTGACCGCCAATTGGCCGACCGTTTCATGATTTTTGAGAGCGAACTAATCAACTGAGACCTAAAATAGGTGTAGTCCTCAACATCTATACGCATATGTCTTGGATGGTCTGTACGACAATCATCATCTAATTGATGAAAAACAAGTAGTTTTTCATTTAGGTTAACCAATGAACTGTTGTTTCAACCAAACAAATTGATAATTAAAAAAAACAACAACAAAACAATCAATCAATTAGTGAATCAAATTAGATGAAAGAGAGAGAGAGACAGAGAGAGAGAGAGAGAGAGAGAGAGAGAGAGAGAGAGAGAGAGAGAGAGAGAGAGAGAGAGAGAGAGAGAGAGAGAGAGAGAGAGAGAGAGAGAGAGAGAGAGAGAGAGAGAGAGAGAGAGAGAGAGAGAGAGAGAGAGAGAGAGAGAGAGAGAGAGAGAGAGAGAGAGAGAGAGAGAGAGAGAGAGAGAGAGAGAGAGAGAGAGAGAGAGAGAGAGAGAGAGAGAGAGAGAGAGAGAGAGAGAGAGAGAGAGAGAGAGAGAGAGAGAGAGAGAGAGAGAGAGAGAGAGAGAGAGAGAGACAGAGAGAGASAGAGAGAGACAGAGAGAGAGAGAGAGAGAGAGAGAGCACATACTCTTTGGAAATGTGAGTCTCAATGTCTGTCTTAACGGCCAATTCATCCCATTTAGCTAACAAAGCAGATCCACGTTTGAAGGCAATCTCGACCTCATGTTGTATAGGTTTGACAGAACCCATGGATCTGTTGTTGAGTATAGCTTTTCTAAGCAATAATACCGAAGACTGTCTGTTAGATCCAAATAATCGTTTCCTATTGAAACCCATTTTTCAATATATGTTTGCTTTTATAGTCTCTTTAAACCAAAACTACCACTAAATGAATGGAAATTTTATATTTATATATAATAATAATTATTAGTAGAGTATTATATTTTTATACAATAATGATTAAAATGTTAAAAATGTACAAAAACATACACATACACACATAAACATATACATATACACATACACACATACACATACATATACACATACACACATACACATATACACATATACACATACACACATACACACACACACACACACACACACACACATACACATACACATACACATACACATACACATACACATACACATACACATACACATACACATACATACCTTATCATATGTTTTAGTTATATTGTTGTCTAAAAATATTAAAGTTAAAATATTAGATTATAATTATTACAGTATTAATGTTTAACTTATGATATTATTTTTGGTTATAATTTACTCAATAAATTATTATTATTATTATTATTATTATTATTATTATTATACGATATTTAGTTATAAATATTATTAAAAATAAATTTAAATGGAAAAATACATAGAAATATACACACACAAAAATTACATTTAAAGGTATGAATCGTATTAAGTACACACACATAGATACACACATACACATACACATACATAGACACACACACATATATATATATACACACACATACATACACATACATAGACACACACACATATATATATATATATACACACATACATAGACACACATACATATACATACATAGACACACACACATACATATATATATATATATACACACATACATAGACACACATACATATACATACATAGACACACACACATACATATATATATATACACACATACATAGACACACACACACATATATATACACACATACATACACATACATAGACACACACACATACATATATATATACACACATACATACACATACATAGACACACACACATACATATATATATACACACACATACATAGACACACATACATATACATACATAAACTTTTTGTACATAAAAAGGTACTGAATTTGTTTTTAAAAAAATGTTTAGTATACAATGTACAGTACAATGAATAAGAGGTTCCGAAGACTCGGGCCCTTTTTTAATTATGTATGTTAAATATTTTTTGTTTGTTTGTAACTATATAATTGTATTATTAAATAATTATATGATTATAAAATAATAATTCAATCAATTGAGAAAAAAAATAGCGCTAGAGATCCTCATTTTAGTATTATGGGTAATACTAGAGGTCCTGTACTACTACTTGACATTAGTTTACATTTGATATCTATGGTAACTAAATATTTGGTCAACTTTTTTGACACTACTCTTAAATTACGTTATCATATTTATTGCTTACACAATAGCTTAATAGCAATAAATATGATAACGTAATTTAAGAGTAGTGTCAAAAAAGTTGACCAAATATTTAGTTACCATAGATATCAAATGTAAACTAATGTCAAGTAGTAGTACAGGACCTCTAGTATTACCCATAATACTAAAATGAGGATCTCTAGCGCTATTTTTTTTCTCAATTGATTGAATTATTATTTTATATACAGTATATAAATAATGTTAGTATAACTGTTACTGTACTGTATATAACACACACACACACACACACACACAATACAACCCAATTAGTTTGACAAACATTTTCTAACAAACAGTTTAACAAACAATCACTAAGTGTCTGACTGTCTGTTTGGTTGGTTGTCTGACCTGACTGTCTGTCTGTGTGTGTGTGTGTGTCTGAAAAACAAACAGTCTATTAGTAGGATCTGATCCATACATCCAATAATGGCCTTAAAAGACACATCCGCTGCCAAACTGTATCTGTTTGGCTATAATTTGGTACAATTTTTCGGGTAAGTCTATATACAGATATAGACCACCAATCGGTCGGTCGGCATATTTGGACAGTCAGTCAGTCATCAAACATATCAATAGACAGATACTAATTGTTTTTTTTTGTTTTGTGGATACCTTTCCTCTCCTCCGCCACACAAAACAGTTGGTCATACGGATTGATAATAATTGTCGGCCATGTGTTGGCCACCGGCGGCAAGTTTACCGGTGCCTACGATCGGGTTCAGCTATCGCTAACCATTTTCCAGTCACTACAGCTGATCGAAGTCGGCCACTGTTTGGTACGATTGGTTCCGTCCAATGCCTTCCAAACGTTTGTCCAAATTTTCTCCCGATTGGTAGTTGTCTGGGGTATACTGTTACCAGTGGCCGACTCCCGTACAAGTATTGGCGTACCGATGCTACTGATTGCCTGGTCGTTGGCCGAAATGACCCGCTATATGTACTATGCACTGAATATCTACGATCAGGTACCCTATGTCCTCACTTGGCTCCGATATACACTGTTTATTGTGTTGTACCCGCTCGGGGTATCCGGTGAACTGTTGACAATGGTTGCGGCCATACCGTACATACGGGACAGTGGCCTCTATTCTCTAAGTTTACCAAATTTTGCTAACTTTTCCTTTTACTATCATTACGGTTTGGTGGCCATTATGTTGGGGTATATTCCCTGTAAGTATTGTATTATTATTATGTATTTTTTAATTAATTAATTAGAAATTAATTGCTTCTCTAGTTTTTTATATATATATATATATTAATAATTGTAGTTTTATTTTAAATATAATTATTATTAATATTTTTTTTTATTATAATATTAATTACTGTTTTAATTATATTATTTATTTTTTTGTTGTGTATAGTTTTTCCTCAATTATATTTTTATATGATTGCTCAGCGGAAAAAAGTTTTGGGTACCGGTTCGCCAACAATTAACAGCAAGTCTAGTACATGTCATCAAAAAACTAAATGACTACCAATTGATCCAGCGATACCACCACCGCATACATAAGCTCTAAGTGTACTGTACCATACATGAGCTATACATGTGTGGTATATCCTATGTGTGTGTGTGAGCAATAATATCAATAATAATAATAATAGTTTTTTTACAGTTAACTATAATTGTTTTTTTTATTAATAATTGTTTTTTTATTAATAATTGTTTTTTTTTAAATATATTTTAGTTTTCTATAATTTAATTGTTTTATATATATATATATATATATATATATAGTAATTACGGTGCATTAGTTTATTGTTATTGTTGTTGAATATATATATATATATATATATATATAATTATTATAAGGTAAAAAATTATTAAAAATAAAATATTATAGCAATATATTTTATATATATTTATATATATATATTAAATATATGTTTATTTATATACTGTATGTACCGGTAATAATATTAATAATTTTGGGTTCAAATATTGATTATTTTTTTTATTGTTGTTGAATATACTGTAAACTTATATTAATGGTAAAAATATTTTGTACTTGAATTTAGTGTCTAGGTTAATTATTTTTATTATTATAAACTAATTTTTACTTAATTGAATGAGTGATACACATAAACAAACAAAAAAAAACAATAAATTATTAATTTATATATCAATATATATAAATTTAATAGCAATTTATTTTTATCTACATATCTATCTACAAACAATAGTATGGGTAACAAAAATAACTTACAATTAGTTTGTTAATGTAATTTACAAACAAACAAAAAAAACGATATACAATATTATATACTTATTTTTATTGTTATTATTAATATTATTATGATTATTATATATATATATATATTATTGTGGTTTTTTATTATTATACATTGAAACTAATATATAATTTATATGAAATAAATGGTTTATTTTTTAATACTTAATACTTGGCATAAAATACAAAAAGCTTGTGTATGTATGTGTGTGTGTGTGTGTGTGTGTGTGTGTGTGTGTGTGTGTCGTGTCGTGTCGTGCAAGAGAGGTATGGCATATATATATATATACTGTATATATATAATATTTTCTAAAAATATATACACATATATATATGTAAAATAAAAACGTTTTAAAAAAAACAAATTTATCGGTAAGTGTTGTCTGAATATATATATATATAACTAGAGTAAGACTTCTTAAGACTGGAGACACAGATGAGAGAGAGAGAGAGAGAGAGAGAGAGAGAGAGAGAAAGTGAAGACATTGGATGAGAATGCGCTCTAAGACTTTGGTTTGGCATCAAAAGTGATGCAAAGAGTCGGTGCCGTCAATGACTATGTGTGTGTGTGTGTGTGTGTGTGTGTGTGTATGTGTGTGTGTATGTGTGTGTGTATGTGTGTGTGTATGTGTATGTGTGTATGTGTATATGTGTATATGTGTATATGTGTATATGTGTATGTGTGTGTGTATGTGTGTATGTGTGTATGTGTGTATGTGTATGTGTGTGTGTATGTATGTATGTATGTATGTATGTATGTATGTATGTATGTATGTATGTATGTATGTATGTATGTATGTATGTATATGTATGTGTATGTGTGTGTGTGTATGTATGCATGTATGTGCTGAAGGAGTAGTAGGGGATGTCGTATATGGACAAGAATGCCATAAGAATGGTAATGGTGTCGGTATAACAACACCACATTGCCATCCAGTTATACTGTGTGTATATATATATACACACATATATATATACAGTATATATCTATATATATTTATATGATATATATATATATATATATAAAATATATATTATATTTATTTGCAAAGAATTTTTATATATTAAAAAATTATATTCTTTTATTTTATTTGTTTGTTTTTTTTCAATTAATTTGTTTGTTTGTTTGGATTAAAATTAATTTGTTATCAATTAATTTATTTGGTTGTTATCAATATTGTTATCTCCAAAAAAAAATAAAATAAAATAATAATTTACTAATAAAAGTGTTGTTATTATTATGAAACCAATTGTTGTTGTTTTTCTCGCTATATATATATATTAAAAAAAACTTGTGTTAACTAATTAAATATATATATATATATATATTATATATTTATATATGATTTTTTTGTGGATATAATTTATATGCAACCAAAAAGGATATATCATATATTAAACTATGTTTTTATTATTATTATTTTTTAATTATTAATATATCAACTCTACTGATGATAATGTTGTCGTCAATAACATTACAAACCAAAAAAATAGTCATTTAATTTAATTAATCATAAAATTATAATATAATAATAATTTGTTTAATTTAAATTTGTTGTTTCGTTGAAATGAAAATTTTAATCAAGTGTCTTATACTATATAACTATTATTATAATTATTATAAATCATTATTATTATGATTATTAGTAATTAGACATTGAAAAAATATATAAATATTTTGTGTTGAAATAATTTTTATTTTATTTAATAAAAAAAAAGGTATAGTATTATAGTATTATTAATATTAAAACGCTTAATATTTACTATAAAAAAATTTATATAAATATATACAGTATATATATATACAGTATAAATATTTTATACTATTTATACATTAAATTTGTAACATTTAGTTAAATATTTAACATCAATGGGAGAGAGAGAGAGAGAGAGAGCAAACACATAACTCACATACTCTGTATATATTAATATAATAGTCGTAAAAATGTTGAACTTATTGTTAAATTATACTATAATTTGTATATTCAATAATAATATTAAATTTTTATATATTTTTAAATATCTATATAGTATATACTGTATATATATATATATATATGTATATTCTGTATAGTAATAATATAATCGATGAAACTTGAAATATTAGTGATACTGATTTTGGCACCGATGGAGACTTGAAAGAGAGAGAGAGAGAGAGAGAGAGAGAGAGAGAGAGAGAGAGCAAAATATGTGTGAATCATATGTAAAATGTAGCCAAAAATGATTAATACAATTTTCAACATTTTACTATGATATATATAAATTATATGTATTTAAATTTTTAAAAATATATTTTTATAATCTATAATATAATATACAATTTACTATATATTTTTTGGTTAGTGGTAGTAATACTGTACATATGTTTTTTTGTGCTAACACACACACACACACACACACACACACACACACACACACACACACACACACAACACACACACACACACACACACACACACACACACAATGTCTGTATATTTGAATACACAGAGAGAGAGAGAGAGAGAGAGAGAGAGAGAGAGAGAGAGAGAGAGAGAGAGAGAGAGAGAGARAGAGAGAGAGAGAAATTTATTTATAAATTTTTCTAATCGTATTTGTATTACAATGAAAAAAAATTTTTTTTTTTAAACATCACATTTAGTTATGGGCTCCATATTATACATTGTCATACCATTGAAAACTAATAATAATTATTTTAGTATATCCTCTCTCTCTCTCTTTCTCTCTCTCTCTCTCTCTCTCTCTCTCTTTACTTTCTTTCTCTTAAGTCTCGCTATAAAATGTTATTTAAATTATTTATATATAAATAAATTGTGATAAATTGTTTCGAGAGAGAAAAAAAAACTAATCCATGAGTTAGGTTAGACACCAAACACACACACACACAGAAAAAAATGTTTATCTTTTATAATATATTTTGTATATATATATATATATATATATATATCATAGTATATATATTTATATAAATTACAATAAACATCCTTAAATTTTTGAAATAATAAACTTTTTTTGTTTGTTAGTTAGATTTATTATTATTTTGCTAATTATCTAATTAATTAATTAAATCTAATTTTGTATATTTATTTTGTTATAATTCATTATTACTATTTACAGATTTACAATATATATAAATTATATATATACTGCAAACACCAGGACCTTGGTTAATTATTTATATTTAATATAATAATAATAATCAATCAATCAATTATCCAGAAAAAAATATGTAATATAATTGACAACAAAAAACTAAATTAATAATTATCGACATAAAAAAAATTTGGATTATAATTATCAATACAACAACAAACAAAAAAARTTAATAATAATAATACCCGAAAAAATGTCAAATTTAGCCCAACAAACATTACCCCCTCCTCAACAACAACAACAACAACACTTATTACCGCAACCGATACAACCGCTACAACAACAACAACAAGTAACCGGCGTTACCGCCGGTAGTGTTGGCGTCATAAACGGTGGCCGCTTTGATTTCGACGACGGCGGTACCTACTGTGGCGGCTGGCACGACGGCAAAGCTCACGGACACGGCATATGTACCGGACCTAAAGGTCAGGGCGAATATTCGGGGTCGTGGCACTACGGTTTCGAGGTTAGCGGCGTCTATAAGTGGCCGTCGGGTGCCACTTTCGAAGGCCAATGGCAAAACGGTAAACGGCACGGTATCGGTGTGGAATACAGGGGCAAATGGGTCTACAAAGGCGAATGGACACAAGGCTATAAGGGCCGGTACGGTGTACGGGCCAGTCTACTGTCCAATGCCAAATACGAGGGCACCTGGGCTAACGGTCTACAGGATGGCTACGGGTCGGAAACCTATGCCGATGGCGGTACCTATCAAGGTATATATATATAAATATATGCCGCGCGGCAGTATACCCGATAAAAAAATCAATTGTATTATTTAATATGTATTTTTTGTTTTGTAGGCCAATGGTTAAGAGGTATGCGACACGGCTACGGTGTCCGATCGTCGGCACCGTACGGCCACTGTAACATTACAAAAGCCATAGTGACCAGCGCTACGAATGCATCGCTACAGTCGCTGGACACTGAGGGCGAGTCCCAAATGGGCGATCAACGCAGGGATATTGTACGCGGAGGTTTCGTAKTGGTTGCCCGTAACTCGTTTCGCGATAGCGGTAAACGCCGTAATTCGTTGGTCGAGAAAACATCGGGAATTCGSGGGAATTTTCTGTTCAAAAACTTGCGACTSMGAAAACAACGATCGACCGGCGATATTGATGTCAAATCYAATAAGTCGACGACACCGTCGTTGGTATCGTCCCGAGAAGCTTCGGAAACTGGTTCGGCCGCTTCGTTCAAAGATCAGGACCAGGATGTCGGCTCAAATGCATCGTTTCTATCGCAAAACGGCGACATAAGCGATCCGACCACTACCGAAACGTATGCTGGCGAATGGAAAAACGATAAGCGATGCGGTTTCGGTGTATGCGAACGGTCGGACGGGCTCCGGTATGAAGGCGAATGGTATAACAATAAAAAGTACGGCTACGGTGCGACCATATTCAGGGACGGTACTCGGGAAGAGGGCAAATACAAGAACAATCAGTTGGTCACTAATGTCAGGAAAAAACATTTGTTTGTTATACGATCGTCGAAAGTACGGGAACGTATCGAGTCGGCCATTGTGGCCGCCCATAGAGCCCAACAGATTGCCCTACAAAAGTCGGATATTGCTGTGAGTCGTACATCGACGGCCCGATCGAAAGCCGAACAAGCCGATTTTGGTGCCGGTTCGGCCCGCAACGACTCCCAAATGGCCTACATTACGGCCAAACAGTACGGCGGTATCGATCTGAGTCAGTCTCATTCCTTGGACGCACCGCTCAGGCGACGGCTGTCCGACTTTTCGCAGATCAGGCGAAACACTCGCGACAGCGGCGGCGGTGGCGGCGTCGGCGGCCCCGGACACCAACCACCGCTGGATAACCGAAACGCCATTCAGCCAAACAATCCAAACGTCGCCGCCGCCAACCGACAGTTTCTCGACCCTAACGAACCGTTTGGCGGACGTCGAGGCAGTTTCCGTACACATAATAATCAGTCATCGATGGCAACACAACAACAACAGGCTATCTATCCTCAACACGGACTACAACCCCAACAACAACAACAGCACCGTATGCTTCAGCAGCAGTTGCCAAACCAATTGCCACATCATATGCAACCACAACACAACTTTAGTAGACAACAACACCACCAACAACAACAACAATCAAGTGTCCATCAACTACTGCCACACCATCCTAACTATCAACAGTCGTCGATACCATCGATGACCAACGATCCGTTTGGACAGACATTTAGCGATCATTTTGATCAATACCAGACACTGGTATCAAAATACTCAAACATACAAAAGCAGCGATCATTTTCTCCTAATTCTTCGACAAATCCAATGATATCATCTAATGTTCAAAATATTAGTAATTTAAATAATAATAGGTTTTCTAATTATAATCCCTTACCTCCCGATGTCCAACCATTTAATACAAGTAGTAGCGGTAGTAATAGAAATTTATTAATGAATTTTAATAATAAATCCCAAATCCCGTCGACACCCGGCGGCGATCCGTTAGCGGCGGCGGCGGGTGTAAGCCTTGATGAATGCCTTAAACAACAGTTTCGGACGGCAGCGGCAGTGGCCGGCACTTCGGGTGGTATTAATAACGATAATAATAATAATAACAATGACTATGAAAACGAAGATACTTTCGACGAGTCCTCAGGTCCTCAGCCTAAACAATGGAGGACAGCCTCACTATACAGACCGCCAACAATACCAACTGCTGCTCAAAATCATAACCAGAAGCTAAGTGCCGGCGGCGGCGGTGGTGGAGGAGGTGGTGGTCTGAAACGTAAACCATCGCTACAGCCAAACGTTGTCAAACAGGTTAACAAACCGATGATGAGTCGCGAAGAAGTATCCGTATTGTCACACAACCGACGGGAACAGCAACGCCAGGAACTGGAGCTCAAGGAAAAGCTATCGCGAAATCCATTACTCTATCTAACAAATCCTCGGTTTACTAATTGGCTAAATAGGCAACAGTTAGTTATGTTAGTACTTGTAATCAATATATCATTGTTTATATTATTTTTTAAATTATTGATTTGAAATGAAAGAGAGAGAGAGAGAAATATATAACACAAAAAAAAATTTTCAGATGAATTGAATGATAGATTTGTTTTTTTTAATAATTAATTAATTAATTAATTATATAAATTAAATTTGTTATTGAAATTTGTTAACCAAAAAAATACATTACTGTTATTATTGTTAGTATTATAATAATAATATTCAGTATTGGTTTGTATTTTTTTTAAATGTTAACAAACAAATTGTTAAAAAAAAGATTCAATGAATTTAATTTATATCTGAAATACAGTACATATATATATATATATATATATATATATTAAAAAATATATTTAAATTATAAGTTATTATTTTAAAAGATTGTTTTATTGACAGAAAATAATATATTGTTTTTCTAAAAAAAAAAAATAATAATTATATCTTATATTTCTTGTTCACTAAACTATTCAAAACAAAAAAAAACAAAAATAAAAAAATCATATCTAATGAGACAAATGACAGGTTATTTGATATACACACAAAAGAGACTGTTTGTTATGTATTTTTAAAAAAATAATATATTATTATTATTATTAATCAGTGAGAGTCAGTTATATACAGATTTTTTTGAAAAAAAAATTGGTTTAATTAAAAAATTAAAACAAACAATAAAATAATTGTCAATTTTTTTGATGATTTTTTATAATTATTATGGATTATATAAGGGTATTACAGTATATTAAAATGAGATAATATCAATATTTATATATATATTATAATATCAAATTTGATTTAGTAATCAAATTTAAATTACATATTATTGTTAAATATATATATATATAAATATATTTAAAAAAATAATAAATTTGTTATTCAATATATATATATATATATTCTAATTATATTATTCTAAATTATATAAATATATTTTTCATTGTCCTAACTATTGATACTATCAAATATGATATATAAAAATTATTATTATTATTATTGAAAAAAATTTGTCAATTACCTATATATATATATATCAGATTGTTTATATACTATGCTATATGTAAAAGCCGTCCTAAAAATTTATTACCAAAAAAATTAATAATATATTGAATATATATATATATAAATAATAATAAATACATGAAAACAAATAAATAAACAATTTATTTATACAATATAATGATGATAATACTGTAATAATAATAATGCTGATAATACAGTAATTATTATAATGATTATAAAGTACAGTACTTATATATATATATATATATAAGTATATATATATATATATATATATATAAATGATAATAAAAAATAAATAAATAATAAATATTTAAAGAATTTGCATTTAAAAGAATTGACATCAATTGCCATTCATTTTGTGGTTTAAATTATATATATATATATATATATTAAAAAATATTTATTTTTATTTAGTATTTATTTTAAAAAATATTTTTATTTAAGTGAGCTTTTGTTTTATATATAAACTGTACTTATATTATATGAGGACTTATTTTATTTTATTTTTAAAAAAATGCTACGAAAAACAAAATAAAGAGGACTTAAAAATAGATTTTTTTCGTTTTAGTATTTTTTTGGCTAAAATCCAATGATTTTGCATAAAATACAGTTACAAAACAAAAAAATAAAAATAAATAAAAATAATGAGCATTAATAATAAAAATAGTTGTAACGATTATATACAGTAAATATATATATATATTATCTAAATTTTTTTATAGTATATATATATATATATACTATATTTTATTTTAAAAATTTATATATATATATATATATATATATATATATATATATATAAATATGATATATTAACTGTTAAGCTAATAGCTGAAAGTTATTTTATTTTTATATATTAACAAATTTATAATGGTTCAAATTTATATATATATATATATATTTATTTATTTAAATATAATATTTTTTAAAAATAAATAATTTTGTTGAATTAGGAGATATTTATGTCAATTTTATTATTAGACATAAATTATAAATATATTATTATATCTATATTGGTGAGTCAATTTATTTTATATATTAATGTATTTTTTTGCTATTTATTTTATACATTTTTAAAAATAGATATTTCTAACTAAATGATTATTATTAGGTAAATTGAAATATATAAAATCATTTAATTTGTTTTGTGTGTGTGTGTGGTTTTATCATTAAATTTAACAAATATATATTTTTTAAGTACAATATTAATATAAATTTCTAAGAAAAACATTATTATTATTATTAATAATAATAGATATAAATAATTTAGATTTGATGCCAATTTTAACAATTTTTTTATTATTATTATATTATGAATACTACTAATAGCTAAAAAAAGTAATTATCACTTATATTATTTATAAGTGAATTTATATATATATATATATATATATATATATATATATATATATATGAAAATATTTATTCAAAGTAATTAAAATTAATTGAAAAAAAATTAATTCATGTTTTATATATTGAATTAATGTTGAAAAACAACAACAAATAAAAAAAATCCAATTAAGTTACTAATTGTTACTATAGTTTATTATCATATTATAAACAATTTGGTCATTTAGTCTACATATATATATAATTTTTTTTTAAAAAAAAACATTTATAAACTTATAGACAATTTGCTAAATACTGGGGCTTTTTGGTCAAACAAATTTCAAAAGTGTTTTTTTCACTTTTTTTAAATATTCAAAAAAAATTGTTCACTAATTTAAAATGAAAATTATGTTAAAAAAAATTTTTTTGTTGTTGAAAAATATTTAGTAGTATATTAGTTAGTATACTGTTAGGTATATTATTATTATTATTATTATTATTATTATGACATATCATCATCCAGTTTTAAATTGCTGGCAAAACAACAACAAAACAATTGAAAACTATTTTTTTTTAATAAAAAAATTTTATTTTATTATTTTGTTGCACACATACTAACAAAAAAATACAATTACATATACACTACTCAAAATTGATGACTACAATAATAATAATAATAATAATAATTTTGGCTAATTATTTTCCTAAATAATTATAATAATTAAAAACTTAATTTATGGTTATTATAATAGAGTGCAACAACTATTATACATTATATGATATCTATTTTATATATAATATAATTATAATTATTGTTTTACTGTTTTGTTTTTGTAGTAATTGTTGGCATAATTTTATTTTGTTGTTGAATTACTTATTAATTTTTCTTTAATATTACAAAAAAAATAATATCAATGAACTTTTGTGTTTATATGTGTCTAAAAAATTTTTGAATTACAGTATATATAATATATATATTATTTTGATAACTATTGAAGATATATTTTGTGAATAATAACAAATAAATTAATTAATTAAAAAACAATATCAATAAATATAAATTTGTAAAAAAAATATTTATTTAGATAAATAATTCAATTCAAAGTGTATATTACGTACAGATTTTTAATTATTTTATAATTAATAATTTAATAACTGTTTGTTTGTTTGTTTGAACTTATATACTGTAATATACATGTTTGACATCTAAATAATTTTAATTAAGTTAAGTTTATTATTTAATTGTTAATTTTTATTTATTTATTTATTTTAATTAAATTAAACTACAATAGTCAATTGAAATTTTGTTAATATTAAAATTTATGTTAATTATATGATAAATAGCATATAATATAAAAAAATTATTTGCAATTTTATAAATATAAATGCAGTTTTTATTTTTTGCTATTATTTTATTTGAAGTGTAGGTAAATAATGTAATTTTAAAAAATAGATTTTAATGTATATATATATAATTGAAATATTTGTTTAAAAAACAATTCAATACATATAATTATATTATTTATCTATTAGGTAAAAAAATATTATAATACAAGCAATACGTGATACTATAATTTATTTAAAACTAATATTTTTAAAAAATTATATTTACATTTTATTAATATATTAATATTATACAATGGAAATATAAAATTGGGTTTATTTTATTTATGATTTTTTTTGTTAAATTTTTAAAACAATTTTGCATATTAAATTTTTTTAAAAAAATAATTTTGTTTCAATATAAATATTTATTTTTAACTTAGAAAAATATTTATTTATAAGCAATAATAATAATTACATGATAGTGATGATAGAGAGAGAGAGAAAAAAAGAGAGAGAAAGAGAGAGAGAGAGAGAGCCCAACAAATATTTTGCAATAAAACTTTTTAGACTTTTTTTTATTTGTTGTTTGTCTTAAATAAATAATACTTTAATTTTTTAAATTAGTTTGATATGATGTGTCCGACATTGACATAGATTTTTGTTTGGTTTATTAAAACAAACAAATTGTTTGAAGACATCACATATATATTGTATATATGTTTTATATACTGTATATTATAAGTTGTTTTTCTACAATATTTAATTTACTTATATATATTATATGTACATATTTCGCTATACTATAACACAGTGATACACACAAAAAAATGCAAATTTTAAATACAATTATTACAACACTTTTGCAATACTTACTACTAAATACTATACTACTGTATATTATATATATATATATATAATAATATAATGTAATATAAAATAAAATAATAATAAGATTCACTTTTTTTCACTGCTGGAGGAAAAATTCATGTCAAAAGGAAATTAAATTATAAACAATTGGTTACATAATAATAATAATAATATAACACATAAATACAATATAATGATGACATTGGGGATGGCTTTAATATATATATATATATATATAAATATATATACAATTTAAATGTAATTATTTAATATTAATATTAATTTTTTTTTGTTACATTTCATTACTATATCACAACAAAAAACAATGCAATACTAGACCAGATTAGTCACACAATTTGAAACATAACTTTTTAGAGATAGTGAGAGAAAAAGTGATAAATAATATATGTTTTTATTAATAATAATAATTGTATTTTCTATAACTAAACTCAACTTTTTTGTTAACTATAATATAGATATTTGTTTGAAACAAATTTATGATGTTTATGGCT